CCACTGATTATCGTTTCTTTACTTGTGAAACAAGAACTTGGCTAGCAAACTAAGCAGTTATTGTAATAATTCAGTTGAGATCGACTCCTCTGCTGTGCATCTACAGGGTGTGGAATTGCACAGAAATAAAATTGGATGGAACGTTTTAAACGAGAACCGAATTTGTTCGAAATGTAGCGGTTCCCGAGGAGGATGTAGTATCAGATTTGTCTTAACGCGTCGATTACTTTTCTTTATTTAATTGGATTCGGAGAACGAGACGGAACCGAGTGGACGTTCCGGTCGGTTCGGCTTTAAAACTTCATTTCCGACCCCGTTGTCCGTTTCCGTGTTCGAGTGGCCAGTCTCTCTTCTCTTTGTCTTAGAGGCGATCGGATCCGTAAGAGAGTTCCAGGTTGTTTCCTGGATGGGAACCACGACCACCGGCGATCACGGTTCATTTCGTCCCCGCTCTCACGATCCCGGACCAACTCCGTATTTTCCCTCTTGGCGTCTCTCGTACCGCGGTCCGTTCGCCTTCCACCTCGACCAGTCACCCGATCCCGGGGAAAAAAACGAGAAAATAGCCGGTACACGGTCCTACGAACCCATAAAAATCACGCTCATCGTCTCTCTTTTTCTCTCCCTGCTCGGATGGATTATTGACTTTGCGTTTGTCTGACTCGCAGGCGTTCCCTTCTGCCAATCCTCCGAGGCCAGCGGCTCTTCCTTCGCAGATTGAGCCCGCGCGGGTCGCATATTGGATCGAGATTCGCCGGAAATCGGAATGTTTGCCTCCGGAGTCCGCTCGGACCTCTTCATCGCGCCGATAAGAGACAGAGCGGGTCCACGGAACCGACTAACGAGCGCTCGATAAATCCGCTTCGCCAAGACAATAATCGAGGTTACTCGTGACGTATTGGAGTTGATGACTCAAGTAACTAATTTCTATTTTAAGTTGAGGGTAAGAGATTCCTGAATCCTTAATCCTCAATTTGTCGATTACTAAACCATTATTATAGAGAGGTAAAATAGCAGCGTTCGCTCGTTCGTACGATAAACCTGGCTTGAACGAGGAAATCCTAAAATTCTAAGTCGCGGGAGTAAGAGTATCGTCGGGTGGATCGCGGGGAGTCGCGTCGAGGGTGGAAAAGTTGTATCGTTGAGTTCGTTTCGCGGCTAGGGGAAGACAGTTTGCCCTGCAAATGTCAGGCTAGTCGAAACAGGAGTTTGTACTTAAACGAGGAAACCGGAGCGGACGGGCTTTGTCGCGTCGGCTTCGCTCGGAGCGGCGCGTCGTTGGTAGCCACGGCGCGGCGGCTGGAAGCCAAATTGGAAGCTGGTGGCGTGGCCCTGAAAGTACCGAAGGTAACGTACAGACGGACGGACGGACAGACAGAGTGACGGCCAGGAGCAGCGAAATCTCTTGCGTCCGGTAAAACGCGCACATGCGAGAGCCCACGGGGTGGGAAACGGCCAGAACAGAGACGGTTCCGCGACTAAACGAGCAGAAAGCCAAAGCAAAGCCGCGTTTGGCCGGTATTCGACGCGCTACCGGCCGGTTTAATTACTCTCTTCATAGAGACACTAAATATTCGACTGTCTGTGAGACGGCAGGTCCGAGCTCTGTCCCGCCCGTCATAGAAACGATAATTACGGAAGCGAAGCCGGCTTCTATCGGCGCGTCTGCGACCGTAATGTTGCCCGTCTAATTTCACCATCGATCGCTTACCGCTCGATTTACCTCGAATCGTGATTTTCGACTTTGCGCGAACGCGCCACAAATCGATAGACAGATCCCTCTGACCCCATCCTACGATCTTACGATTTTCGGTGGAACTATACTCCCTTCCTCTTAGGGTTGAAAAATATATTTTTTCCAACGTTTCACGGAAAACAGAGTAGCAAACAACGATATTGAAATTTAAATAACGTCGCGGAGGTACCCAATACGTCGTCACGAAACTTTTGGGCAAGTTGATTTAAAAATAAGGAATTAAACGTATGAATTATGCAGAAACACAGACCGCGTTCACGCGGTAAAGTTTTACGGAAATTTCCAGTCGACGTGTTAAACAAACTTTTTAAGAACTTATTAGACTTCGTGCTGGATTATAATTTGTGCCTGATTGAGGAAAAATCTTGCTATACGGAAGCTCTGATATTTGTAAAAGAAAGTTTCTCGAGGTTGATCGAGTTCTATTATTTTTCGTGCGAAAGATTCGGACCCCCGTTGGCCGTCGCCCGGTACTGGAAACTGAACTTTCCTTCGCCACTCGACTCTGAAAAATGTTGCTTTTCGAGTGCACGGAAAACGAAAGGAGCGCGGAAGGGAAGACAAACGAAAGTCGGAACGCGGCTGCTTATAAAGCTAGCATCGTAACAATGTGGCTCGTCTTTTAAAGGAGACAGACACGACCAGCATTCTCGCGGTCCAACCCCCCACCCCCGTATCCATCCCAGCCGCCTGCCCCCGTTTTAATTAGCTTTACCGGCCGGTAAACAATAAGCCCTTATTTCTGATGAATTAATTTTCAACAATTCCGCCGGTCGGCTTACGCTCGGCTTCGGCTTTTATTCCGCCAGGGGTACCGCCCACGCAACGTAACGAGCATCCCCCTTTACGTAATACTATCTCGCGTATCCGTGGTTTCCTGAAATATCTGGGACGCGAGCTCTCAACATCGTGTAACCAAGCTTCGAACAACGGGGATTGTTCAATCAAACGATAAGGTTTAGTAAAACCTGGGTCCCCTTCGACCAGGAACACGTCCAATCAATAAAGTAAAAGTAAAAATAAGTTTTGAGAATGTGTTCCCTTATTTTACCCTTTTTTAGTAGAACAGTAACACGTGGGAAAGAAACGTAATTATATTTGAAATTTATTCAGGAATGCGAGACTTTAATATACGTGAGAAACAACCCAGGTCCACCGTCTGCATACTGCGTAGGATTAAAGGGGTTGTCTGAACGCGAAACGGGGTTACTGTAGTCCGCAAGAAACGTTCCCGCGTTTAAAATTTTATCGGTTTGATTCTCAGAACGTGGCTGGATACACCAAGTTGGAATTGCTTTCCCAAGAAACGTGTACGGTACGTAAGATAATTAACCCTGCGATGCTACACCCGCGCAATAACACTATAGTGGACGAAGCTAGAGCTCGATTAGCTGGAAAAGTTATTCCACCGACGTGAAATTATTATCAATCGAGTGCCGATTAATACAAACAGTCCTGTACTTTACAGTCTATCGACAATCAAGGCATAAACACGCTTTATGGAAATTGGAAATAAATCGATGGGGTAAATGAGTGGGAACAGCAGTAACCTAATATAGTATTCCGTTCTAACAAAGTTGTTTGAAGCGTCGCAGATTGTTATGAATGGCATATAATTATGTTTGGATTGCATAATTCTGTTATGAAAGACGATTGTGCTACTCTTTATATCAATAAATAGTGGTGGCAAGTTGGTGGCCGTTCACCAGATAAACAGCGATCGATCTGCGTGCTGGTTTAGTAAAACTATCGTTGAGAAATGTTATTTCATGCAGAGATAAACCGTGTCGATTCCTTGGATATTATATTCCATCTTTGATTAATATTATATTTTGAAACTAAATTGGGAGTTATGTCCGGTTAATGGAACCGAACCGGAAACACAGGGAGGGGACCAAAGGGCCGCGTTCGGTGTTTCCCCCGATCGATCGTCGGTGAAACCGCTTCGAATCCGTGAATCCGTTTCGAAAGGAATATTCAAGCGACGGAGGATGCTCGCGGGCAGAAGGACGGTGGAAAATCCGTCGGGTAACGGGAAGAGGAAGAGGAAGAGCGAGGAGAAGGTGCAGCCGCGGCTTATAGCGGCGCGAGACGCTCATCTGCATTTCAAATCGCCCGCCCTCGCCAAGATTTCCACGCCCGTGGACGTCCGTGTGCTCGAAATATCTGTTAGCGGGCGAAACGCGTCGCGTGTGCACGCGTCGGGACGGAATGCGGCACGATGGATTCGGGATCGCAGCGCGGTCGTTTCGCCCGGAACCGTTCTTCGGAACGCGCGCGAATTTACGATAAACGCCGGGGCGAACCGGAAGTCGTGCTTGCTTCCTGGCTGGATCGACCGTCCTCGAGATTTAGGCTGCTTGCACGTTGCACGGGTGTCCGTGGACGCCTGTACACGTCCGGATACCAGATACGCGAGCGCCGATCGTAAAGATCGATCCTCCAAAACCGAATCTCTCCGCGAGGATTCCAAGATTCCAAACGCGTGAATAAATTTTCCAGCTCGATGTCCTGGAGATATATTATTTGGTATTGATACCTGTGCAACGAGGCACCGCTTTTTAAACGCCGAATTCGAGCGAAATTCCCGACCAAACAGGATCGAACCGCTTGTCGCAAGTGTTGAGCACACGCGCGAAACTCATTTTTGCCCGAGGACCAATTTGCACTTTATTACCGTGTCGTCCGACGCGTATGAACAATTATTCCGCAATTATTTTACAACGGAGCATGTTTGTCGACGCGATGTATGAATAACGACCGATTATAGGATTTCGAGGAGCTTTTTTTACTGCGTTCCCACTCGTGCGCTTTGGGTCGCCTCCGAAATAAACATAAATCTGAAATTAAAATTATAATTGGAGACATTTTAGAGGAGCAACGTGCAATGAAGCTTTTAAAAATGGTGGAAACTTTGAACCTGGATGGATGGATACTTTGGTATACTGTGGGTGGGTGTGTAAATTACGATGTAAATATCTGTTTCGACGAAGGATGGTTCCAGCGTTGATTGCAAGGAAAAACTTGGGGAACAGTGTGCATCGAATCGCGCGGGAGGTACCTAAGGCGGTCCTGTTCGCTGATTAAACCGCGTGGAAATTCTATCAAGAGCCGTACGAATGGCTGGGCTTGACGGACCAGCGAATGCACCGCGTTAATTAGTCTCCGTAAGCACTGCACCGGCGCGGAAGAAGCAGTGGTTGCAGAGCGCGATACGGGGAACCGGAGCGTATGATGAACTTACCTTGCCGACTCCGGTGAGCTCTTTGACGCCTATCCTCCGCAGGAGAGCAGGTGGTGCGGGCGGCGGCGACTTGAGGAGCAGAGCTGCATATCCATTCGGAAAGATCGGCTGCTCGTCCGAGCCGATGTTCTCGTCGCCGGAGCGACGCCGACGGTGCGGGCTCGACGAGAGGTTCAACTTTTGGGCTGCTCTGAAACCCAAAGGAAACTTCCTTTCAACGATCGCTACAATCCCATTTCATTCGTATTTCATCTGTCGCTGACAAACGAGCCCAGCATTGTGCGTTGCAAACTTAAGAACTTGGTTGCATCGCACTGGGGGTTTCCTTTTCATCGTAGAGCACCGTAAACCTGGCGCGAATGGTTTCAAATGCTTAAAAATTTCTCACTCCTGCTTACTATCGAAGGAATTCGACTGTCCAAAGATGGAATTTTATACGATTTGGAATATCAACTGCCCAGGTGTATTCCAGCGTCGTTTAAAGCCCCGGAGTTTGGCGCGCTGGCGAAATTGTTGGGTATCCGAGGGGACAGAATTCTCGCATGCAAGCTCGCGTGTATAATAAACTTTTTACAAACGCGAAATCCAATATGGGGGCTAGCAGGAGCACCCGGGGAACCGCTTAAATCTCAGGAGGACGAAGCAGACGGTCGTTGGGTTCGTTCGTCTCGAACGCTTCCTGCGATGCCTATCTGGGAGATACGGAACCGAGCGTAGGAAAGGGTCGCAGGATTCCGGAAGGTATGTGTCTCGAGGGTGACTGGGTGACATACTCCGCGGGGCAGGCCGGTAATCAGCGAAGGTAATGTGCCGGAACCCCGTGCGCGATAGGGTACCGCCGTGTTTAAAGGGGTGCGTGGGTGACAGAGACGAGGATAGGGAAAAAGAGGGGGAAGAGGCGTTGTAACAGTGGGACCATTGGGGCTCGCTTTTCGCGGGGAACGTGGGGGGTGGGGGTGTGGGGGGACGTTCCAGGGGCTCGGTCGCCCTAACTTCTCCAGCCCTCGGGCCTCGTTAACCCACGCTCTGTGAAATTGGAAATACCAACGAGAGAGCGAACCAGACACGGCTCGCCCCCGTTTTGCGGGCTGCGCGTGCAAGCATTTGCGACCGCTGTGTCGGGCTGTCATAAAAAATAGAAAGGGACGCGGACAAGGGGGACACGGACCGGTTATCAACGGTCGGCGCCGCGGCGCGCACGACTTCCGGCCCGGCATTACCGTACGAATAATCGGCGCCAGTTTCACGCCCGCCGCCATGGACCGAGGCTAATAGTCTCGCGGACCGACAAGATACCAACGGATCGTGTTTACCAGCTTTGCTTTCGTACTTAACAGCTCGACGCCGACTACGTGACAGGGAAAAATCCGTTGACCCCGGCCAGCCAACCGGCCGGGATATTTTAACCCTTTCGGCGGACCTTTCGTTCCAACAGGTCCTACGCGGTGTTTTCTTATTGCGGTTGTACGATTCGAGAACTTCACGAAACTTGCCAAAATTACTGGTGGCTTGTTCCGGAGACAAAAGTATCGTTTGAGGTAATCAAAGTTGGGGGAGTGAACCGGAAAACCAATCGACCGGGAAAGTGACATCGGCGGGGCGGTATTCCTGAATACTGACGTTCCCGCCCACCCTGAAGGTGGGCGATGCAAACGAGACAGTGGAGCTGGGTCATCGTCCTTCGAGAAGCCTAACTCCCGATAAAGCATCGAATTATCGTTGGCTGGGTTTATAACGAATGTCCGGAAAAATGTCTTAATTTCAGGAATAACGAAGAGGCGCCCGTATCATAAACCCAGCAGTTATACAAAGTCTGTTTAAATCCCGCATTAAATCCTCGTTTAAATTCTTACATAATCTTTAATTATCTTTATAATCCTATTCAAATCCTGATTTAAATTCCGCGGTAGACTGCACGTAGACGATGGATAGAAAAAAGTGAGTGGCTTAATTACTAGTCATACGCGTTAAGCGTACATTTAAAAATTGATAGAACAGTCACTCATGGTATGAAATTATCGCAGACAAAACAAATTTTGTGGAAACAATGTCCATAAACCCGAAGATCCTCGTCGACTCGCATGTCTGACCATACCTCGATATTTCTACTTGCATCTACTTGTACACGTCTATCCTACCATCTGTTTCTCATCGATCATACTATTTTCCAACTGCTAGTATCCAGATGACACAGATAGAACCTCATACGAAGCCATTAATTTCTAAAAATACCAAAATTAAGTAGAAATAGTCCATAATGGTCAGACGCGGTAGATCAGTCTTACTTAATGAAAGTTCAAAGTTATTTTCTGCTTTGAAATAACCATTGATCTTGAAACCATGAACACCATATACGATAGAAACATTGCAATTCCACAAAGTAAATGATAAAAATTGCCAAACTATTACGAGCGAACAAAATAGAATAAACGGTTCGTCCGGCGATAATCCCATAAACAGGAGAGTAATTTTTCGGTCGATCGGCCGAAAAATAAAACGAGGCGAAACAATAATTTAACGAAACATCGCGTTTGCAATCGGAATCTGTCATAAAGTATCGTTCGCGAGGCACGCCGGCCACGTCGAACGATAACAGCACAATCGACGCGCTTGCTCCTCTTTGTCGTCGAATTGACAGCTCCATTTTTGACTTTTATGCCCGTTTTAATTATTCGCTAACACGTTTTCGGACTCGAGCCGCGATTTCACGAACCAGAACTTCGACAAACGACTCATTGGTCGGATTCACGATCGGTCATCGAGAGCGCGTATCGTTTTTTTTTTTTCCAGGCGCCACACCGTTTTTATTCGTCACCGTTGATTTTTCGTCGCGCTCGACCATGCACGGAACTGCCTCGCCATCGCCGGAATCGTCACCGATAATCGAGATTCGTTTCACGCGTCGTCGGGGACCAGTAATTTTATTTATTTCAGTGACAAACGGGACGATATTAGAAAATGCAAGGAAGCTATTAAAATTAAAATGACAATGAAATGCATCAACAAAGCGACGCGTTTCGAAGAATCTGATCGCTAGGTTACACGCATAGAAATCATTTTAAGGTTTCGAACGAGTAGATTAGGTCCGCGACTGGCGATAGGAGGTCCAGCCGTTATAATTGGCGACAGTTCTCGGATGACCAATCGATGGTCTCGAGGGGGCGGCAGGCCGAATGCGAGAAACTTATTTCACTCGGTCAAATATTTAAACGGGGAAAGTAACTTGCAGATGGAGAGGGGGAGGGAGAACTTGGGATACTTTGCGACAGCCAGACGCCAGAGTCAACATCGCGATCGAGAAAATGTAGTCGGGAGAAAGTACCCCCGGCTTCCGTGCGTCACTTTTCTTCTCCAGTTCCAAAGTCTACTCAATTAAATCTCTTAATATTTATCCCAGCGGGGGACGAGTAGTCGCCATTATGGACGAGGAATCGTCGGTCGAAACGGTAACAAACTCTCGCTTTCGTTCTTTCGCGACGAAGGAACATCGAGATGGAAAGAGATTGCTTCCTATCGCTAGAATTCTACGCGAGACGAGTGCTCGTAGTCGCGAAAATACACTTGTTGCGACTAACGGGTCGAGTACTTGTTGTATCGTGAGGGCGGAAGGGCTCTGGAGAATATCGTAGACTCGTAGAACGCGGAGTAATGCTTCCAGCTCGTAGAATTCTTGCACTCGTGAATTGTAATGGAACAGTCTCTCGTCAAGAGACGATTAAAGAAAAATATTTTAATATCGTAGGGGGGTAGATTGGTGTACAACTCTATCTTTGTAGAACAGAATTTCTCGAGTGGTCACGATGCAGAAGTTCATAAATCCGCAACGTCGAAAAGCAGAAGGAACCGAAGAAGCAATATTCCATTAAAAACAGCGCAAGAAAGCTTCAACGAGACGCGAACGACGGCCTTTTCCCGTTTCGAGGGAAAAACGAAGTCGCTTCTTTCGTCCCTCCAGCCCCCGGGCGTTCGAAAACGAAGCAGAGGATCCAGGAGACGCAGGTGCGCGTCGCGCGAACGCAATCTACGCATCAATCACTAGGAACAGATGCGTACTGGATCTCGCGCGTCCTCAATCTTCGACGAAAGGTCATTTTCCAGCATGGCTACATAATCGACGATCACCTGCGATATCGACATCGAAATTTTTACGGCGGTGGTTGGTCAACGAACTTTATTTCAAAGCGTGTAAACAAATATCCAGCCAGCGATATTAAATCGAATCCAAACTGTTTCTTAGAAATTTCTGAAATTGAGACTCGCGAAGAACGTCCGACGCAGGAAACTGCGCCCCATTTACAACTTCCAAACTGCTTCTGCGTTAGCCGATTCCACGTCGCGTGTCTCACGCGATATTATGCGGTGTTCAATTATTCTACGACAGTGTTTCTCATGGCTGGCCATTCCACTGATGCCTCGAAAACAGAAAAATCGTTTTGAACCCAATGATTTTGTTCGTACAAGGAATAGCCACGAAAATGTGATTCCTCTTCGGGCAAGATAAACTTTTGAAAATCGTTTATAAAATATTACACTTGTCCTGGTCCTTAAAATCGGCAAACAAAGCAGCGACGCACACGCCGTCACACGAGTTTGCCGTGTTACTTAACGGGGACGAGCGTACCGACTATCAATTCCGTCGGTTGACAAAGCGAATGAGTTACAAGGCATTAAAACGACGAACGTCATAGAAATGTTGTAGCGTAATCGGATTGCACGCGGTATCGATCATGCGTCCGGGGACCGTGTCCAACGTTGACGGACTCCGTCAGGACCTCGTCGTCGCCTGGGATCATAAATTTTCCAGCCTCCATCGGCCCCGACCACTTTTTTTGTTTCCTCCCGATATATATATTTTTTTTTTTATTCGGTATAACGAAGAGTATCGAGCACGAACGGAAGGTCGGCGGCGCGTTCTCGCACGCTCGTAATTCGCACGGAAATTACACGCTTAATTCGCGATGTTATTTACGAGCGAGCGGACACTAGCGCCCTCGCCCTCGACCTCCGTCCTCTCTCTCTCCTACCCTTGGTTGGCAACTCGCCACGTATCTCGGCTTAATCAAGGAAATTACGGCGCGAAGCGCTTTAAACGTCGGGGGCCGTTAGTAAGGTCGCATATCTCCTGCTCCGACGCGTCTGATACGCGGTAGCCAGGAATTAAAAACTTCTGAAAAGACGCGAGCACGCGAG